TTGTGTTTGACACAAAGAATCAATGCGATCGGACCGAATGAATATCGAAGGAATTGACATGAAAGCACAACTACATACCGTTGTATAGTTTTTACACAGTTAAATAAATACATGTTTTCCTCTATAAAACGATCGTTAGACCACCCCTGCTTAATATTTTGTACATGTTCCATCAACAATGTAAAATACATATTCTCTTACGTTTTAATTCTTCAACTTTGAATAACACATTTATTCTTTTGCTTGCTTTTATGAAATCATTTTCCGCTCATGTTTCATCTCTATTTCCTCTCCTCTGTCTGATCTGACCTTCTTCTTTACCTTCAAAAAAGCACCGATCGCAACAAAAGAACCTTCAACCTCCCAAGGCCGTCGCATATCGAAAGCTCGTAATTTAATTCTCGAATCGGAGGAAAATCGTATCTTCTCTTTCATCTGGTTAGGGAACGAAACAATAAGAAAAAGAAGACGGGAGCTTGGCATCTAACAAATATATTATTTCGTTTCAGGGCTTCTGGTGACAATGCTGCTCTCGCAGGACGTGCAACGACCGCAAGACAATAGCGAAGCATGGCGTCAGTTACCTTATCCGGGCATGCCTTACGATCCGAACAGAAGTCAAAGACGGAAAGATGCGAAGGATACCGGTTCGAAGTACGTTTGCAATAGATGCGGGAAAACATACAAAGCCACCACATCTTTGAGTCGTCATAAACGGCTCGAGTGCGGCGTTGTACCTTGCGAGGTTTGTCCGATATGTGATAGAAGATTCAAGCACAGATTCGTATTGAACTCGCACATCATTGGATGCCAGAGAAAATTGCGACATATTATTCAAAAGAGCGGTGAAGAGCCGATATTCGCCGAAGAACGCGAGTAGCTGCCCGAATGCGATTTTCATCGCGTTGCAACAATGCGCTAAAGTGATCTTCCCTGCGAAATGGTCTTTGTCATATCCTTTTCATCAACAGTCTTCTTCTTCTTTTTTTTTTTTTTTTTTTTTT